TTGATTCAGTAAGAAAGTTTCCATATTTCCTACGCAGAGTTAACTGAGATACGTCTACAATATTATATTCACTTGTCAAATTAAAGTCGACGGTGTTTAAATTTGACCACCCAATACCTATCCAGAGGAAGCTCCTTGAGGTAAAATCTGTGACTTGACACTAGTCTCATCGATAGAGAGGAATATACGCCACTAAAAATGGACTCTATTAGAAGATCACAAATGTAAGTTTTCATGACAAGAATTTATAACTCTAAAAACAATTCCTAAGAACAAAAGTCAGAAAGTACAATATATGGCCTATGAATTTCTTAAAAAATAAATCATCGTTTTCATTAAAACTATTTGTGGTTTCCCTATCTACTCAACTTCGTCAATGCAGGGATGGGTAGTTTTAGTCAAACCGGATGTTGGTTTTCGCATCGTAACGGCCAAAACCTATAAAGGTTTTGAGTTTTCCGGAATTTTTCACCGATTTTACAGATTCATTTTGAAATTTCGAGTGGGGCGCATTCCTCTCGGAAAAAAATTCAAGTATAAAATCAAACATTGGTATCTTACGCATATTTCTGAACAAGTTTTTTTCTCCGAGAGGAATGCGCCCCATGTTTAAAATAAATGTTTATGAATGTCGTTTGGTCAGCTGGCACATGTAGAAAGCATAGTTACCTTATATAATTTCTTGTTATGAAAAACATCACATTGCAAGGATTTAATTTATCATAAGAAAAGTTACTGTAAATTATATAAACACAATCATGAATCATTTTTAGCATTAATACATTATTTATACGTGGTAAATATAGTAGGCTAAACAGATTTTTAACAGCCCAGTAGTTAAAAAAAAATTAGAAAAATTCAGTGTAGAAATGTATTCGTGTTATTTATAAAAGTCTATGCTTTCCCCATTTGCATGTTTGTTCTGGATCACTGTTTAACAGAAGCCCTCCATGGTGGCCAGGTTATAACCATAATAGGTTTAATATTGCTTTTTTTCAACATTTGATAAGTCGTCAATATCTTCTCTTGACGTCACAATGTGCAGAAAATGACGTCAAAGTCGCGTATAGGGACGTGCAATATATTTTGTACATGTATGTGATGATTGTCATGGTAGATGTAATATTTCTAAGTGTTCAAAAAATATATATTTTTTTAATTTTTGAAAAATGTTGATCTAATGCGGAAAATTTAAATAACAATATTTTACCTTCCGACATCGCTCATCAGAAATTTTAACATGTGTATAAAATAATGAATTTTTTATTCAAAATCTTTTTCTCTGATTATCATCTTATCCACTGTGTTATCACAGATCTTGCTTGAAAGTATATATTATACACTTAGAATCGCTTAGAAAAAAAATATATACAATTTTTTTAGCGATCCAAAGGCACATGTGCTTAGAATCGACAAAGTGATGCGTTGAGTGAGTAAACAGTTATTCTGACTTCTTTGACAGACATAAAATTGCAGAATCCAACAAAGAATGTGATTGGTGCAAATGAAATCTGTGTCAGGACTGGCAAAATTTGATATATGTATCCCGGTTTTTCTGCGATTGAATATCATGACTGACGCCCCCCCCCCTTTTTTTTTCATCGCCACTACTTCAATAACATTCAACGTGCCTAAATTAGGTGAATATTGTTTGCCTTTTATTTTTAAAATGCTAGTTTGTATGATATTTATTTTAAATTGAATATATGAATTATATTTATATTCACAATTATCGTACAAATTGCACCCCCCCTCCCAATAACTAGAGCTACCATGAGCACCGAGTTCACTAAATGATGCCCACTAGGGGAGTTAGAGGGGGCATAGCCACATATCCCCTTCATGTGTCTAACATATACTTAATATTTTTTATTATACCTCATATAAAAAAACACAAGTAAAGAGGAATCTGATTGGCTGAGGCAGTCACGTGACCATCGTGTTCGCTCTGCAACAAAACTTCGTGTTTCCCGCATTCGGTTCACCTCGGCTGACTACGCTATCCTACATCTAGATGTAATCAGCCGAGGTGTACAGAACGTGTTTCACATCGTGTTCCCCAATTGTGACGTCACAATGCGGCGAATGCGATGATTAATACTGAATTCGATTGTTTAAATCTTTGATTAATTATGTTGATATAAAATCTTAAAATATAAGTAGTTAGAAAAGTGTTTCCATGAGTTGGGAATGAATGTTACTACACTGCAGTGTGTAAATCAGAATGACTTGTCACGAAGCTTTTTTTTATGAAACGCTAGTGGTGTGACTTACACCTATTGGTATTTCATATTGTTCTCATCAAATGTTTATTTATTGGATTCTCTTTATATTTTCTGCATTGTGCTTGATTCGCATACGTTAACTCTCCCGATTTAGGCGGGAGTCTACCGCTTTTTCACTCCATCTCCCGCCTACCGATTTAATGCAGAAATCTACCGCTTTTCTACAAAAGCTGCGTCTAAAGTATTTTTGGTTCGCTTGGGTATCCATTTTTGAAGCCACTCTCATAAAATCTCGCTAGATATCGCGTGATTTGACTCGGAATCATACAAACGCTTTTTTTGTACTTAGATTTCAAGCACGGATTTGACAACGACAACAACACAAGACTACCAGTGATTACATTGGTTACGATAAATTAATCAACATCCCTGCCATGAGAAAGGAGATACACTTTTAAGAATTAGATGAAAACATTTGACATCGTCTTTAAAAGCACAGAAGCTCACAACTTTATCAATAAAGTCAATAGAAATCACTCGATTGACCAAGCCATGTGGCACATCTCTACTTTCGTTTTCGATCATCGCGGGAAATCTGATTTATATAACGAAAGATAGGAACTTGTTTTAGATCTAGATTAAACCATTTTATCATTTGTTTTGTTTAAAAACTGAATCAATATTTTGAATTATTGCTTCTAGGCTATATCAGCAAAGATCACTCTTCACAAGGCTAAGTAAAGCAGCCAATCCAAGCAAAATGATGAGCATGACAAATATTTGAATTTGTACAATTTATGTCAAATTTAAGGTGTTTCTGTCTTCTTCTTTGCTGTTGATATTTAAGATTAATAAGTGTAGGTACCTGATTTCATTTAAGTCTTATAATATACATGTATACTACATGAAAGATATCGATAATCCAAGCGTTAAACAACATGCGCACAATGCTACCGCTTTTGAGGTCTGAATCTCACCTCTTTTTCATCACAATAGGTTAACATGTATGTTGATTCGGTATAATAGAATAATTATTGCATGAATGTTCGGGAGACATGAAGATTTCTTCGCCCATGAAAAATCATATTCCCCTCGGGCGTTGCCCTCGGGGAATATGATTTTTCATGGGCGAAGAAATCTTCATGTCTCCCTTACTATCATGCAATAATTGTATAATATCTTTGCAAAATGTTGGAAAAGGCAGCTAAGCCCTCACTAGTCCCGACGCCTATGTCTCTAATAACAGTTACTTAATTGTCTCTATTTTGTTTTATTAGTTTCGATAAAATGCAACTTGAAACTGTATTTGCATCTTGATTGGAAATTAAATTAGTTCATTCTCTATGAGTTTATGTGGCCATTTCCCTTGAAATCATATCAATAATTTTAATATTACATCGCTGCAATTGCAAAGTGTTACATTTCAACAAGGCTTAATGATGATATAACAATTTTTTTTTAATTTGAAAGAGGGGGGGGGGTGCGCACACCCGAGGTACTGATCCTGGATCTGCCTTTGATTAAGCGACGTTCTTGCATTAGACATTTGCTAATGCTGCTCTCGGAGAAATTCTCCCCAAAAGTGTGCAAAAATATAGCGCCGTAAATTGCATCTTTTTTGCATTAAGGGATCTGTAGCGTTATGGTCAAAGACAAATATATGAAACCATAACGCTACAGATCTGCAGCTACTTTCGGAAGTATTCGTTATACGAAGTATAGGAATTGCTCAGAAATACACAAGTGTTGAAAATGCATAGTTGAACATTTTGAAAAGCAGAAAGATGGCAGGGAAAAACGATTTTTCATAACCCTGTCTAGTGATTGTCAATAGACGCACTGTATAGATAATTCAAAATAAATCCATTTATTATTTCTTCTAAAAATTTTTTTTTTACAGTACTGTCTAACTTCCATTATACATAGTACTTCTTTCTTTATATGATATAGATATGTCATTATATTACATGTATGTGCAACTTTCATTATATAAGTTTATCATTTATATATGAAGTACTTTAAACTTCATCCCCCCCCCCGTTGCTTCGTGCCTGGACTTGGGGTTAAGCTTTTTACAGTTTGATTAAAAAAATATTAAATGCATAAAGTTTGTGTAAATTATTGATAGAATTATTATTATAAAACATGTCAATAATGAAACTTTACAGTGGACAGTGGACTTAATTATTTACGTGCACCGCGATAAGCACACGCTGAACGGACACAATGTTATTTTCACTAGTACATGTACCTAAGTTTTATTAATGAAATATCGAAGTACTATCTGCAATATTTACCACTTTGATAATGAGAACTCACAAGTGTTAAAATTCACAACGTCATTCTGACGTTCCGTAAAACGTACGAAATTCATGCATATGGATATGCCATTTTGAAGACCTCTTACAGAAAATATGTAAGAGATATTGAAAAAAGAAAGTTGGTTTGAAAAAATATATAGTCTGTAGATATATCCAGAGGCCAAATTGTCCTATTTTGAAATCAGGCGAATTTGTGTACTTTCTGACTCAAGCTCTTTATCTGAATCAGTGTAATTTGTTGACAGTAAAATTCATTTTAACTTTTTACACCACTAAATTTAAAACATAATATATATCCTAGACACTTCTAGTTATAAATTTCACTATTTAAAAAAAAAGAATGATTTAGTTTAGTTGAAAAATAACTGATACAGTTGAAGAAGTATTTTTTATTTTATGATTTTTGAATGTAAAAATTATCAATAACAATAATTATATTATGAATTTTCAAAAGTGAAACATTCATTATACAAGAATATAAATTCCACTTTAATCATTCTCAGTACTGAAGGCATACAACACATATCAGAGTCGGTGTTTGTGGGTCTGTGTCATATAGTGGGGACCTCACAAGTGGTGGCCATGAGGAGAGATGTGGTGGACACCTGGGTGATGGTAAAAAATCAAGTGAACACAAGTGATAAGGTCTGTAGGATGCTGAGTGGAAGTCACAGAGAAGGATTCCGACTGAAAGGATCAGATATAGATGAAATGTACTGGCGAAATGATCAGCGTGTGATCTGGGAATTATCTCAGTCTCAGTATTACAACACACGCAGACATGAACCGATCCTCTGTGACTGTTCTGATAGTCCACCAGGATTCACTTTGTTATATTTACTGTCACCAAGCATGTATATAGAAATCCAGGAAGCATGTGTTAGAATGAATAACAGATATTATATATCTAGTTCTAAACACAGACAGATATTTTTATCTGTGGTATCATTACCTTATAAGCTCACTCCACATGGACCCTGTGTCAGTGGAACATTTGGAACACAAGAATTTGATCAAGCTTACTGCTTTGTCAGTGACTTTTGGCCTCCCTCTGCCTCCTCGTGGATAGACAGATGTCACTCATGGCCCCCGCCTCATGTTGTTGATGATATAGTGAAAAATGGATGTCACTTTGTAGCAATAGGACATAAGCTAGGAAATCATGAAGATCATGAATGGAGAATTTCTTTCTCCCTAGCAGAGCAAAAACTTGTGTATGTAATGAATCACTGTCAGTTCTTAACCTATGGCTTACTTAAATTGTTTTTAACAGAAATAATTAACAATGAAGTAAGTGATGATAAATTACTGTGTTCCTATCACATGAAGACGACAGTTTTCTGGGTGATTCAACAAAATACAATACCTCACTGGTGTCCACAAACTCTTCTGGGGAGTTTCTGGGTCTGTTTTAAACTCATCCTCAAATGGGTATATGAGGGAGTTTGTCCTAACTTTTTCATTCCAGGCAACAACATGTTTCTGAGTAAAATTCATGGCATCAAACAACAGCAATTATTTAGAAGACTGTCAGAGTTGTATGAAAAGGGTTTAGCATTCCTGCTACATAGTCCCTCCATTAGATCTTTTATTATAGATGTCCTCTATAACCCCAGAAACTCCATCTGTACAAATGATCATACTCTAATTTCTGAGTTTGAGTTTGATAAAAATGTAATTGAAGAAATACAACGTCATTGCTTAATACCAGCCAAACTGGACATACAAAAGCTCTGCATTAGATATTTACATACAATAGAACAGATGATAGGTTCACACCTCCTGACACAGTATCAAGTCATTATGCTACAGAAGTTTACTGCTACCTTCCTTCAGTTCACTGCTTTTAAATTACACATGGAAACTTACACATCTGACAACAAACTGAGGTATAGAGTTGACAAAATGTCCTGTCGCATGCTGAAATTAACAGCAATGTTTGGTTGTATCGCAGACATGCTGTACATAGCCATGTATTATTACAAGACACTGAGATACATGGAAGCTTTATCTATATTAGAGATGATCAAGGTCAAGTTAGCACAGCCATATGCGATGTATATGGTGATGTATATGGGTTATGTAGATACAGAGATGTATATTAAGGTTGTATGGGGACAGTCTACAAAGATGAGACAGGCTGTAGCAGAGGTTCCCTGGTCTACTAAGATCAGACAGGCAGGGATTATCAGACTTGACAATGAAATCCACTACATCAGTGAACTGATACCAGAACAACAGTCTACTCTACAGAACCACAGGTTTTCATTAATTGTACCACCCTGTATCCTGTTATACATGCTTGAGATTTTGTGCTACAGACATGTAGACACAATGAGAGCACAAACAGCTCTAGATGATCTACAGACCCTAGTTCACTATGATCAGGGACAGTTTATACCTTTACATCTCAGAGACATATCGTGGCAGATTCTGGGGATCTGTCAACAGGTGACAGGGAACCTCCAGGCTGCTCTATACTCATACCAACAATCTCTCAGACAAATACCATACAACAACATACAAACAGCTACAGAAATGAGAATACAGAGAATTTACCAATGGATTTCCTTAATGAATTAAATGTCAGATGATATTTATAGGAGTTCACCTGATAGAGATTTATCATTTACATATCCTCTTCTGATTTCATATCTCCTTTTCTGTCTGTTTTATTACATGTATTATAAAGCTAATACCGTAATTTCGGGATTATAGGTCGATGGGGTATATAGGTCGAAAGGCTCATTTTCAGCCTTAATTTTTGAAAAATCCTAAGATAGGTCGAACTTACTAAATAGGACGAGGCTTTGTTTACTGTTTTCTTAAGATTCTAACGCAGATACAATGTATCAGAACAGGTAAACCCCTAAAATTACTGGGGTTATTCCGTGACATGGACGTATCAAGAAAATAAACAGGTATTTTAATGAGTACAGCAATTAAATACTGTTTTGTAAAAAAAAAATGTAGTTAAAACTTCTTTAAATTGTGTTACTACTTTTTTTTTTCTCCAACTTGCCTGTTCAATGCCTCCGTAGTTCAACACAGTTGTTAAATCAGAGGCATAAATAACACGTTATTATTTTACAGCTATAATTCGGGAGATACCCGAGACCACAGAATAGTAATTCCGATTTCAGAACAACTTGGACACATTCCTTATAAATTTTATTCAAACATTATTTACCGGTGGACGACAATTACTTCGATGTCCGCCATTTTCATTTTTGTTCTTCAGGGATTTGCTAAAACCTGCAAACGACCATTGAATGTATATATAAAGCAACAGTAAAGAATGGAAATAATATTACCACGCTGTAAGTTTAATTTATAAATTTAAGTTGAGAGTACCGGTACATTCACAATTTGACAGTCATTATGAATGGCTTTGTTTGTTCAATGATGTGTAACACTAATACCCTACAACGGCACGTGGATTTGCTAATCATGCCCTGCAGGTATTAAACCAACACAGGTGTTGAAACCTTTGCATGTACACACAGTGTAAATCCTTTTATCTGTCAGACAATTAAAATTTGTTAGAAGCCAATCTTTGTATAGCGGTAATGACTATCGGTTTTTTTGGTAATTAAATTAAGGAATTGACTGGCAACAATTTATTTCACTCATTTTACAGTAAAATAAATATAAGACTGTCACAATAAAAAAAATAATACTATTTCAATTTATCAATCTACTAATAAATGGTAAAACACTACACTTGTGATCTTGAAAAATTTTCCGTATTGTAAATTTTGATACGGTTGCGGTTTTACTTTTAGTAAACGGTAGCGACTTCCTAACTTCTCAAGATGGCTACCGCATGATGGCAATGATAACACGTTGATGAATTATTTACTTGATGAAGCACATTTTTTTTTCCATCCACGGATATTTAATGGAATTTATTTTGTAAGAAAGCTATAGAATAGATATTTTATTGTTGACGATTTGTATAAATTTTTCTGCGTAAAGTAATGAAAAAAGTTATGAAAGTGGCACAAATTTGCTTTGAAATTTACGTAAATTTTATTAATTTTGGGGCATTTTTCGTAAACTTGAGCCTTAGAAAGGTCGAATTCTGAATATTGGTCGACCCCAGCGGTTCTGAGAAAAAAAAGTATCGACCTATATTCCGTAAATTACGTTACTAGTAACTAGTCCATAATAAAATGAAAGAGGCACCATTGCTTATCATAATTACAGTCAAACCTGTATAAAGCAGTCACCTACAGGATCTTTAAAAAGGTGACCTTTATAGAGAGATGACCTTCAAGGTTCATCTTATTAAAGGAATTTATTTATACAAATATGCCATTTTATTTGTGTTTATATATAATGTATTTCACTACAAAATATACAAGGAAGTTAGGTATTGGACATAAGTGATCTCACTTTTAATTTTTGTTTCTTCCGCATAACTTCTGTGGATGAATTTTAACAAAATTCAATGAATTCTAGAAAATTATAAAATATTTGTATATAGAATCTTACAAGGTAAAAGCATTATCCCTCATCAAAGCAACAATTTTTCCACTTGTGTAGGGAATGAATATATTAAGCAATGAAGAAAATCAATCGAATATTTTTTTATCTAAACTTGAATTGTAAAATAAACTTTTGTACATATATATATATATATATATTTTTAAATGCATGTAATGGATTTTTGTGTAATTAAACAGACAGGTAACTGTCAGATGTACTCAGTTGAAATTGGTGTTAAATAAAGACTAAACAGTATTTATCTATTTTTGTTCTCATTCTTCTTAATCCCGCACCGCTTGACCAATTATTTACATTAGTAACAAATATTGGGAATCAGCTGACTACAGTTCAGGTCACGTGATTATCTGTCGTCAATTCAGTGTATAAATAACGGACTAACAAATCAGGAGTGAAACAAAGAATTACCTCATAAATAAACATCAGAGATGGAATCAGATGTCATAAATCCCTATGCTCTCTTTTTTAAATGAAACATTTTTGCTTCAAGCCTCATGCATAAGAGCAGACATTCATAGCTATAATTTTCTTCAACAGCAGGGGTTTGTTAAAATATTAAATGTGACAATGAAACTTTTTATGAAATTGTGACTATGGCTTAAAAATTTCGAAATTGTAGACTTGTTCATCTTTAATCATTTTGAAACATTTGATGCCATGTATCCACTTTTTATTAATTGTACAATCAACATTTTAGTGTCGTCTGACATTTCAGTGTCATGGTTTCCCATTTGGTAAACAAGGAAGTAGACAAATAACAAAATCAAATTCACTCAAGAAAATCCTAAAAATATGTCAGTAAGAGTTACTTCCCTTTGTTCATAAAAAATCAGTACCACTTTGTTCATCTTTCTACCAATCTAATTTTGAAGTTTTGAAGCGGCTATGAAATTCAAAATTTGTTCAAAAGTTTACGAACGACATAAGACAACAACAGATGACAAGAGGCCCACGGGTCACCTGAGTACCATGCAACAACTTTCCAGCGATTGTATTTGGTTCGTGTTTTAATCCAAAAGCCATGAAATTCACAAATTTTGAAAGAGGCACCATTGCTTATCAAAAGGGCAGATTTCAAAGCATTAATTTATTTTTAGTCAAAGTACGTCCTGGTACCCATGACCCAGCTGCCCTGAAATTATCTATTTTGAAAGAGGCCCCTTTCTTCATTACAAGACAAGCATTTTTTTTATGTTTAGGTTTAGTTATGAACATGAGAATTAAAATGTCCTGTATGAGAAGAAAATATTTTTTTATATAAATCAATTATTAAATTTGTACATTCTTTTTTATGCCATTCTAATAGGCTCCTTACCACTGGACACATAATGCTTACAAATAGGAAAGTAGAACATTGCTTATTTCATCATCTGCCAGTTTGGGCCAGTTATATAAATTTTGTGATGTTGGTCAAAATGTATTTTAAAAAATCAATTCTTTAAATGTCTTTCAATATATCTTCATTTTTTTAATATGTGTTAGGTGAATGTGTAGGCATTGTTCTAAAATTTACTTGATGTCTAAAATTATATAACTCCTATCATAAAACAGACAGGGAGTATTAGGGAGTAGGGTGAACATTTTTTCAATTAAGTGTAAAATAATTTTTCTGGCTGATACAAATGATACTTCATGCCTGTATATATTTGTATATTTTTGCCTTTTAATAGTTGAATTTTTTTCTTTATTTCTTCAGGTTATTGTTTATTTCTTCCTCAAATGGACTTAACTTCTCCCATAGTTTTATTCATTACATCTGATGCATAAGCAACCCCTGAACCCTTTTCTGAAGAATGATGCTTAGACTGTAAGCGATAAGGGATCTAAACAATTTCGCTGACAATATGCAAAAGCTACCACTGGCAGTTTAAAACCTGGGGGAGGAAAATAATTTACAGACAGATACTTTTGAAACGAATACATAATTATCTCACCAGCATGTCATTGTGCAACAAAGTCGTCAGCATTTAATTTGTCCTTTGAACGGGTGAATCGTTTTGAATGGCACTCGAATCGATGAATTTTACACTAAACCAAGCTATCTTCTCAGATAGATCTAACATTATTTACCCGCCGTTTCATCTTAACACCGGAAGTGCGACTTTGTAAATTTGAAATCTCGATCCCGACTCAAATTTGACATCGGAAAGAATTTTTTTTTTTCTGAAAATTCAAAATTCTAAAACTGAAAATAAAATAAATCCTGGCCTTAAATATGTAATTAGATCATTAGCATATTAACCAGGAGCAAAGGATAAGATGTTCAAAGAATTCATGCATTTCACTATATAATCATTAGAGCCCCCCCCCCCCCCAAAAAAAAAACAAGAACCCTTGACCCTGGGGCAATAAAATTCATAATTTTCATAGAGGCACTCTTGTTCATCATAACTATGTACTTAGTTGGTTTATTTAATACCCTGGAGCTGAGAAGAAGATTTTCAAACAAGTAATGTATTTTCACTATATAATCAATAGAGCCCCGCCCTAACACCAGAACCCCTGACCCCGGGGCCATAAAATTCACAATTTTGGTAGAGGTACTCTTGCTCATCATAACTATGTACTTAGTTGGTGTATTTAATACCCAGGAGCTGAGGAGATTTTCTAATTTGTATATTTTATCCTCCTCTCAACCATTAATAGTCACCTCTACAGGCGATAAACTAGCTTGACTTGAATTCTCTAAGCCTAAGGGATTGCAGAAAATTCTCATTCAGTTGAGTTTATCGCTTGTAGAGACAACTAAAAAGGGTTGGAAGGAAGATAAAACATTCAGATTTATTTAAAATGTCTCCAGATTATCGAGGGAAAGGTAGAAGATTTACCAATGCTGGAGATTGCTGCAATTCCCCTAATCAGTGTGAAAAAAATCATGCGCTGTAGTTTGCATTATGGGATCTGTGGCGTAATGGTCAAGGACAACTATAGAAAACTATAATGCTACAGTTCTGCAGCTAGTGATATAGATGTATGTCTAATTCTAGATTCATTTAATATTGTGAACTAAACCTTGGCTAAAATTACAATTTCATTGATAAGTTAATTTACAGGGATGAAATCTTCATACTATAAAGGGAACTACCAACAAATTCTACGAATATTGATCTACCATTAAATCTAATCATTCCAAAGTATACTGTGATACATAAACAACATAAACAACATACCCTTAGCGTTACTGAAGACTTTCTCGCGTTCGTCGAGGTGTGAAAATTCTAGCCCCGTGACAGGAAGTGATCGGATGCTGTCCGTCTCGCCGTCCTCCGAGTCTGTCTGCTGACCCTGAGTCTGGCGAAATTTACGTGGAGAGATCGCAGTCACTGGTCGTATCTCTCCAAACCTTCTGAGATTTTCTGTTAAATTACAGTCGATAATACTTGGAACGTTAAACAAATAAAAGATCACCCAAGTCTGTACTTTTAGACATGATAGATATATTTCACAATTTGCCAAGAAGTTATTGAGTATTTAATAAGCAACACATGACTTGTCCTATAATAACATGATCAGATATTTTGGTTTTTTTCCCCAACAATTACTATTTTATCCTTTAATCACAGAGAGAGAGAGAATAGTTAAGAGAGGGATACCTTCAGTTTAACTGTTTGTGTTCATCACTAAATTTGATGTTGAGTTTATGAAGCCCCCCTAATGTGAAGACAAAAACTAAGCAACAGTCCTACCAATATTTTGAAAAAATACACATATATTTAAAATGATTTCAGCTCAAAAACAATTAACAATTTTAGTCCATTGACAAATAAAATTTTACCCTAAAGAAATGTAATTTCTCTCTGGTCCATGATACTGAGCACGAAATAAATTTGTTAAAAAGTGATCCGCAAGTCAATTAATAAGGAGGATCGTACACAGTAAATCAGTGTACAATATACCCCCCTGTCAGACACGGGGTTTACTGGTGAAGTCAGTGTCAACACATTAACATAGAAATGTTGTTTGATTTCACACCAAATCACAAAGAACCATCTCAGTTAAAGGGAACATTAAGAAGAAAATAAAGAAAACACTCTCCAGCTTATAGTACTATACATGTACATAGAGGCATCTTAATGTTATACACAGGGTACCTGACATAAACAAACTCAAAGTAGTTTAAATTCACTTGTTAGTTAGGAGTTAAAGGAACCACTATGGAGAAAGGATGCTCATTTCCTTTAAAAAAATCTCAAAGTACATACAGAATCCAGAAATTCAGGCAAAAATAAAATTTTTCTCTGAGGATTTTAGTTTCACATTGTTAAGTAATTTGAACTTCAAAAGCTGGTGCACTGACTTGAATTAAGTAAACTGGTCACCAGCTAAGCAACTAAATTCAAGAGTTAGGTCTTTTATTATTTTCAAAAAAAGAAAAAAAAATTCATTGCCAATATCAGTGGTATTTCAGATTTAAATTCCGATTTCATGAAAACCACTTAGTCCCTTGTTCACGACAGCCTGGCATTAAAGATGTTTTAAATCAACTAAATGGAAAACATCATACCCTTGTCTTCATTCAAATGACATGATAGGAATTCAATTTACATACCAGCTAGATATCTGACCTTTTTAAGGTACATTAACCCTCTGCTCACTCATATGAAATTTTTTTTAACTTTTTATGATTTTCCAGAGGAAATGTATATGCTGAATAAAAATAACAAACAATTATAGCATGGCTTGCGGGGCAAAATTTGACCAAAAAAAATACTTCAACTTGGCAAATTTATATAGGAATAATAGACATTTGTGTCATTAAGAGTTATCTCTCTTATCAGAGTATCAAAGTACCTTAATTAAACAACATAATCTTCTTCAGAGTGATTCCTGAATTTAAAGGGGAACTCTGAATTTTCATTTTATATTTAAACCAAAAGGTTCCTGACCATTTCAGATTGTAGAAATGAATTCATAAAAGAAACAAAGATAATGCTGATTTTAAAAGTAAAGTTTAACTTACGTGCCTTGTATGTAAATTGATTCCCTATCAGAAAATCAGAAATTAAACCAGGCTTTATTCAAAGAAATGTCTAAGACATGTAGAATAAGAAATGTTAAGATCATATGTATATGTGGGGAGGTTCTTTTAAATGAAGAATTTGATTTCAAATTCATTTACTTTTTGTTAAAGACAGTGTAAACAGAGAATTAATTTCCTGGAATATTGTTAATAACTTCTAAAATTTTTGTCTTCTCTAAATCCTGACATATAAAACAAGTAGAAAGGCATAGATCCTTTCATATAAAATCTTACTCCATTTGATAATAGACAGTTACTGTAGTCTTAACAATTTTTAGCCAGCCTCTTGAAACACATTTCTATCAGATCATCTCATCATCAAAAGAAATTGATTCACAATAAAAACTCGAAATTGGCGAAGCCCGCTTTGCATAAATTATCCCATCTTTCTGATATCGTTGATGTCCCTGGCATACTCTACTAACTAGACAGTGATTCCTTATATTTCCATTTCACTATATAATCAATAGAGCCCCACCCTAACACCAGAACCCCTGAACCTCAGGCCATAAAATTCACAATTTTGGTAGAGACACTCTTGCTCATCATAACTATTTACAAAGTTAATACCCAGGAGCAGAAAAGACTTTCAAAGAATCAATGTATTTTCACTATATTATCAAAAGAGCCCCGCCCTAACACCAGAACCCCTGACCCTAGGGCCATAATATCCACAATTTTGGTAGAGGATCTCTCTTGTTCATCATAACTATGTACAAAGTTATTTTATTTAATACCCAGAAGCAGTGAAGAAGATTTTCAAAGAATTAAAGCATTTTTACTATAAAATCAATAGAGCCCCACCCTAAAACCAAAACCCTCCATGGGCCAGCACATAAAGTTGTGACGCATGTCAATGGACGAAAACAGATAGCAGTATAGGTCACCTGAGTGACTCTCATCAACATTTAACTTCATATGAAGTTTGATGAAAATATCTTAATTTCTTTGAAAATGAGCTTTAAACTGAGCTAAACGCAAAGTGTGACGCCGGGGGAAGGACAGAAGATGGACATAACTAACACTTTATGCCCCCACCATACATAAGAACCATTCTTAGCAATCCACAATTTGATACCTATCCTTTTATGCTTCACTTCTGCTTAAGGACAAAACTAATTCCATGGCTGGAAATATTTTAAGCCAAAGTTCAAGTGTTATTAATCTCAAGTCTGTATCAGAAAATTTCATCGAAAGCAATTTCATCGAGTCCATAATACATGCAGGAAACGAAATTGATAACTGGAGTTATATTGGGTAAGTAGGAAATTTAACATTTTGACAGAATTTGATTTGGTAAGAAAGTTTCTATAATTCCTAAACATATTTAAATGAGATACGTCTACAATATTATATTCACTTGTCAAATTAAAATCGTCGGTGTCTGAGCTTGACCCCCCAATACTTATCCTGAGGAAGCTCCTTGTCTATCCACATCTGTGACTTGACACTAGTCTCATCAATAGAAAGGAATATACGCCACTGATAATGGACTCTATTAGAAGCTCACAAACGTAGGTTTTCATGACAAGAATTTATCATTCTAAAAACAATTCCTAAATCATCTGAATCAGTGTAATCATGCAGTGTAAATTGTAGACAGTAAAATTGGTTTTAACTTTTTACACCACTGAATTTAAAACATGATATATACCCTAAACACTTTTACTTAGTTATAAATTTAAAAAAAAAATGAATGATTTAGTTGAGTTGAAAAATAACTGATTTAGTTGAGGAAGTATTTTTTTTTTACTTTATGATTGATGAATGTAAAAGTTATTAATTATGATAATTACATTATACATTTACAAAAGTGAAACATTAATTGTACAAGAATATAAATTCCACATTAATCATTCTCAGAACTGAAGGCATACAACACATATCAGAGTCTGTGTTTGTGGGACTGTGTTGTAAAGTGGGGACATCACAACTGGTGGCCATGAGGAGAGATGTGATGGACATCAGGGAGATGGTGGTAAATCAAGTGAAAACAAGTGAGGAGCTCAGTGAGATGGTGAGTGGGAGTTATGGAGAAGGACTCAGACTTAAAGGATCAGATATAGACTTTATGTACTGGCCAAATGATCACCGTGTGATCTGGGATTTATCTCAGTCTCAGTATTACAACACACACAGACAAACACTGATCCTCTGTGACTGTTCTGATAGTCCACCAGGATTTACTTTGTTATATTTACTGTCATCAAGCATGTATAGAGAAATCCAGAGAGTGTGTGTTAGAATGAATAACAGATATTACGTATCTAGTTCTAAATACAGACAGATCACTTTATCTGAGGTATCATCACCTTATAATTACCTTACTCCACATGGACCCTGTGCCAGTGGGGCAACTGGAACACAAGAATATGATCATGCCTACTGTTTTGTCAGTGACCTTTGGCCTCCCTCTGCCTCCCTATGGATAGACAGATGTCACTCATGGCCCCAGCCTCATTTTGTTGATGATATCGTGAAAAATGGATGTCACTTTGTAGCAATTGGACATAAGCTAGGAAATCATGAAGATCATGAATGGAGAATTTCTTTCTCCCGAGCAGAACAAAAACTTGTGTATGTAATGAATCACTGTCAATTCTTAACTTACAGCTTACTTAAATTGATCTTAACAGAAATAATTAACAATGGAGTAGGTGATGATGATAAATTACTGTGCTCCTATCACATGAAGACGGCAGTTTTCTGGTTGATTCAACAAAATACAATACCTCACTGGTGTCCACAAAATTTCCTGGAGGGTTTCTGGGTCTGTTTTAAACTCATCCTCAAATGGGTGTATGAGGGGGTCTGTCCTAACTTTTTTATTCCAGGCAACAACATGTTTCTGAGTAAAATTCATGGCGTCAAACAACATCAATTATTTATAAGACTGTCAGAGTTGTATGAAAAGGATTTAGCATTCCTGCTACATAGTCCCTCCATTAGATCTTGTATTATAGATGTCCTCTATGACCCCAGAAACTCCATCTATACAGATGATCATACTCTGATTTCTGAGGTTGAGTTTGTTAAAAATGTATTTGATGAAATACTACGTCAATGCTTAATACCAAGGCAACTGGACATACAAAGCTGCATTAGATATTTACATACAATAGAACAGATGATAGGTTCACCCCTCCTGACACAGTATCAAGTCCTCAGATTACAGAACATGATCGCTAGTGTCCTTCAGTACACTGCTTTTATATTACACATGGAAACTTACACACCTGACAACAAACTTAGTTATAGAGCTGACAAAATGTCCTGTCACATGCTAAAATTAGCAGCCAAGTTTGGTTTTATCACAGACATGCTGTACATAGACAT